TCTTAGTCTGTGTTCTGCTGTTATAACAGAATACCGTGGACTGGGTAATTTATAAGGAATAGAAGTTTATCTGGCCCATGGTTCTGGAGGCTGGGAATTACAAGATCAAGGACCTGCATCTGTTGAGGGCCTTTTTGCTGTGTCATAATACGGCAGAAGACATCACATGATGAGAGGGAATGAGAGAGGGAAAGAGCATGGGAGACAGAGAGAAAATGGGGGCCAAACTTCGTCCTTTCATCAGGAGCCCACTCCTGCAGTAACTAATCCAGTCCTGTGATAAGGACATTAATTTATTTATGAAGGCGGAGCACTCATGATGTAATCACCTCTTAAAGATCTGACATCTTAACACTACCACAATGGCAATTAAATTTCAATGTGAGTTTTAGAGAGAACATTGAAACCATAGCAACTATATAATATGTAATATATTTTATCAGCTATTACATTATGCAACTGCAGGGAGCAACATACACATTACAGTCTATGTAAATAATGTTCCTGGATTATTCAGTGCAACAGCCCTGTTATATTCATATCATGTGTTGTAACATATTTAATGTGGAGGGTAACATACAGTATAATGCACTGCATATGGTATAAATTGTAGGCAGTACATAGCATGTAACATATTTATGATAAAAGGTAAAGCATTAGATGTTTCACAATTTACAAAGTTTTACTCCTCATGTTCTGGGTTTTTTTTCACAAAAATTGTGAATTTGTCAGACAAGAACTGATTCAGAGAAGTCAAGAAAGAGACATTTCTGACATTCCAACACCTAGCAAAGTGTCTGATCCATACTATGCCATCAAGAAATATAAAATACTCAAAAAACTATACCCACCTTTCAATTTACCCAAAATCCATTAACACGTTTTTCTAACAGGGTACTGATTAAGTTAACTTGCTGTTTTTTTAATATGCATAATCTCATCTGGGGGTGTTGAGATGTCTGTGAAGTTTAGCAGTTCCCTATCCACCCACCACCAGGTCACCAGTGCTATGACGCTACTCACTGGGCTGTTGTGGGGGCGGTTGGTTCATCAAAGCATCCTGGAGGGGTGAGTCTAAGCAAGTGCAGGACCAAAGGAACATTCCAGACCTCCAGAGAGGGAGCAGTCTTTGCAAAGCAAAAGGACTGCTGGTTCAGAAAACAGGATGGATTTCAGCCATTTGACTAGAGCAGAGGACAAGACCATGCCAGAGGCAGGAGACCAAGATCAACAGGTTGCTAGGGACACACTCATGAAAGACCAAATGTGTCATCTTAGAGATTGGACTTAATCTTGGGAAGAAGGAAGAGCCTTAAAAAGTTTTAGGGCTGAGGGTAAACTGGATGAGATTTCTGTTTTAGAAAGGCTCCTCTGCCTGAGATAAGAAGCACTGATGGCAGGGAGCAAGGCAGGTAAGAGGTGATAGCCTGTATCTGAGCAGGTTCCTTTGGCATGTCCTATGGTGTTACATTCACCTTGAAATAGGACTTGTATCAAAGGAGATCTGGTCCCACAATGTGGAGCACCAAGACGTTAACATTGCACTGAATGTCATGGGTAGATTGGAGGAGGAATAGGCAAAACCTTTTTGCTCCAAAAATCCCCACTTAACATCTTTTCTATTGCTTTCTTCCTATGCTTCCAGCTAATTCTCTCTCAACTCTAGATCATTCCCCTCCTCTGAGCCATTCAGCCCCACCCTCTACTTGTATTTTTTACTCAGCAAAACAAAAAGTAGCTCATATCTGTGGCTTAGGAGTTTGCCCCTAGAAGTAGGGGATGGTCTCAGTTTAACCCACTAAAGCAAGCGTATGAACTAAGGTAGCTGCTGTGGGATTGGGAAAAATTAGAAAACATTTTGCGGACAAAATTAGCAGGTTTCAGTGACTGACTGTATGAGACAGGGAGAAATTAAGGCTGACTCTATTTCTCAAAGGCCACTACCCTAGATCAGGCTTGTACTATTTTTTGATCTTGATTTTTATTTCATTCACCTAATTGCGGTCTCCTATTCCCTAGTTTCTACCCAAATGTATAAATGGATTGGAGCAAATCTGAGCAAATCTGATGTCTGTCTCCAGGTTGCTGACCATTAATGGCTACCACTGACCTCTAAGTAGAGCTCAGACTACTCCACATGGTCTACAAAGACCCTCATGACAGAGTCCTTGCTTGTCAGGATAGTCACCTCCCACTACATCCCCATGTAATTATAGTGACTGTTCTCACTAACTACATTTCAGGATTGAGTTATGATTTATGTATCTTCTTCTCACACCCATATATTGCTTTACACAACCTAGTCAACTTTTACTGGCTCTTCCAGACTCAGATCAAACATCCCTTCCTCAGAACACTTTTGATACCAGATAGAAGCGCTACCTAGCCCCTCCTGTCCAGGCTGAGTGAAATGTCTCGTCTGTATTTGCATACCTCTTATAAATAAACTCTCTGTTTTCTAATTACAACACCTCCGCTTGCCCCCGCCCCCCCCCTCCACCACACACACACCTCAAGCTCTTGAAGACAAGGACTGTATCTTCTCTACTTCTTAATGCCACTTCTTAATATTTGGCATCTAATTTGAAATAGGTTCACAAAAACTATTTGTTGAATGCATAAGTAAAAATGGTGAAATCAACACTCAGATCTAAAACTTCCCACCTTAAATCCATTGCTTTTCTCATTATATCATAGCTAATGAGAGTGTCACATTGTAATACCACACTAAATACTTCATGCCATCAGATAACGGATTTCTTATTCCTAATCTAGCATTGTGAGAAAAGAATTGGTGAAGGGTGATAAAATGGGTAAGTCAACATGGGTATTAAGAGAATATACTATTAAGCCTACACTGCCTCCTTCTGAAAATGTTTAACTATTACATAAAGTGCAAAAATAGTAAAAGTTTTAGTCCTAAACCTAGCAAGAAGATATAGTATTCTTTTATTGGATTGCAAACATACTTAAGGATATTCTAAAAGACATATTTTATTTAATACATTCATATCATATCCATCAGTAAGTGTCCTTAATTCTTAATTATTTGGGAGCTAATTCAATTGGAAATTGTTGTATTCTCAGATCCTCTTTCTCCATCTTGTTATCGATGAGGATGTCTAGAAAATACAAGTGGTAGAATGCAAATCTGTCGTGTGGTTGCCTTTTCTTTCTAAAATCATAAGAAAATGTCTCCACTGGGAAAGATGTTGAAATTTGGTAACAATGTACTTTCACAAATGTCTCTTAAATTATCTTTGTTGTCTCAGATTCTATTAGGAAGAATTATCAGTGTATCAATTTTGGAAGCAACAACCCAACCCATGCAAATCTTGTAAAGGACTCTGGCCAAGAGCTGCTCTCTCCCCCAAAACAACAAAAGTACAACCAATAAGCCAAGGAAACTGCAGCAATGTATTTATTGGAAATGAACCAGACATTACATTAACCTGATAAAGATGTAACAATGCATGAAGTATAACTGGTGTAACATTTAAAAAATCACAAAAGAAAAAAATTCATTTTTAAAATAAAATATTGCATCCAAGTCACGTTAATCACTGAACATCATAATGCAACCCATAATGTTGACTCTGAACATCCAGAATTAAGTTTACTTTAAACTGAATAACAAAGAAGAAAAAGTTTCTTTCCCCAACTTGAAGAATCCTTGGCTACCACCTGTATATCACATGCATAAGGTAATTTTCATCACCAGACAAAAAGAAGATGATGATTGTTATATTCCTGGTAGGAAAAAAAAACCCTCCTACAAATAGAGAAATTTTCAGGAAATCCAAGCAAGAAATCAATCGGTGGCCTCCAACTGAAAGGAGTACCTAAAATCAGCATTTTCTAAAACCTAGATGTTTCATTAAATTTACTAATTAGACTTTATTGTTTTTTAAGAAACTGCCTGGATTCAAGAACATGCTGATCTGTAACAGCGGTCATTACATTCACATGGAGTAACAGTGTACAGAGGGTTTCAGATGTTTGTCAACTGATCATCAAGATTTTCTAAAACCTTTAGAGCTTTACTGTTCTACTTTATAATACATCTCAGATTGTGTGTAACAACGCCCTTTGAAGAAAATTACCCCGGATAATCCATTTGGGAAAAATACAAGTACTGCAAAAAGCAGGGATGATAAATACTGTTTGGAAAGGCAAAAATGCTGCATCAACTTCCAAAGGCACTGTTGTCTCTGCTATGGAGAACTGCATGTGTACTTTGAAAACTACTTTCTTGGGGCCGGCCCAGTGGCGCACTGGAGAGTGCACCGCTTGGGAGTGCGGTGGCGCTCCCGCCGAGGGTTCGGATCCCATGCGGAGACCAGTTCCCGCTCACTGGCTGAGCGCGGTGCGGGCGCAACACCAAGGATTGCGATCCTGTTGCCGGTCCCCAGTACGGGCACGACACCAAGGGTTGCGATCCCGTTACCGGTCAGTAGGAAAGACAAAAAGGAAAAAAAAAAAAAAAAAAGAAAACTACTTTCTTTCCATACACCCAGCATGCACAAACATCCTCTAGTAAGCTGTTTGCAGGCTGGGTAAGTTGGGAGTCCAAACACAGAACTGTAGGTTTTAGTTGAGCTGGTGCCACATTCCTCTTGTCTTCCAATGGATTTCAAAAGTTTGTTCCTAAACATTTCGCAGTTCTCATAAATTTTCACATGAAAGGGGAAGATGATCAAGAGTTTGTTAGACTCTGTCAATTGCCAAAAGAAGAAAAAAACACATCTGAACACAGCAGATAGCAGGTCATCTTTGGAAAATCAATCATAACTGCATTTTCTTATCCTAAATTTAAGGTGGAGAGAACTAAATTTAGAGCTCTCACAATTTGGTTGGAAAATGGCAAATCCTTGCCAATTGGTAACTATGGCACCAAGTAATGGGGAGTCTATCCACAACTGCAGTAGCCATTTAAATAAAAAAGGTAGAGAACTAATCTAGGCAATTTAGGATCTAAATTAAATTTCTGAGGTGTAATATTTTTAGTTTGAGTAACAATGCTGGTCTAATTTGCTAGAAAATTAGCAACACCCTCCTTTACCTTGAGCAGCCTAGACTCAGCCATGATGTCCTGCTTTCTCCTTATGTATTTCTAAAGTAATGCTAATCAGACTCAAAATGCATGTAGGTGCAACATGCTAGTTGGCACAAAACAGGCAGGGAAAAACGCCCTACCTTCCTGAAAACCCACAGAAGCGTGACTGGCAATCAGTCATTTCCCTTATATAGACAATGTCAATAGATTTTAAGACAGATACACAGAAAGTTACACAAATGTTTCCACCTTTCTATCATTGAGTGAAACATGCTATTCTTTGGAGATAAAAATACATTCTTTTTTTTTCAAGTATATTTCAATATACAAAGATGCTCTAGCTTTGTTTCACTACAAAGACAGAAAGATTTCACAGGTGTCCAAGGGATATTTTACTTTAACGTCCCTTTGGTGTGGATTTCATGAAGTTCCGACTAAAAAAATTGCTCTAAATATACATCTACTCATTTTATCTGAAAGCATGAACTCTTTATGTCTATTTTATATTTATGTACAGAGTCAGCAACAACAACAAAAAACAGTCTACATATGTACAATGGCTTAGGATTGGCACTCTCTGGTTGGGAGCAAGGTCCACCTGCTGTGACTGGGTCCTGGTACCACTGTAGGTGTCCCGCTGGCTTCAGTGTCCAGCCTTGGGCCAGCAGCATGCAGGCGCTGCCTTTTTGTAGTATTCTAAGGAGCACTTTCTGCTGAGACCACATGGCTTGAATTATGACTTATTTCCCATCTTGGTTTTGTTGCTGGGGTTGCAGTTTAGGTCTCTCAGCAGCGATTCGCAACTGGCCAGAGCATCTGCTGGCACCAGCTTCCGGATTTGCTCCACTATCTTTTGATAAGCCATTTTTTCTTGCTCCAGGTTTCGGATTAAAGACTTCATTTTGGTCTCTCTAGTCAAAAGATTTTCCAGGTTTGATTCCAAGGCCTGGATTTTAGAATGAGCCACCTATTTGGGGGGAAAAAAAATTCTCCAAATCAAAAATTTGAAGAGTCTTGGTTCTTCATTATACCAGCAGCCGGGCCTTACATATATTAACTAATTATATCAAATTACTTAATAAAATATTATGTGAAGCAAATACTATGAAAATATCTATGAAATGTACATTTTTAGGCTCTTAAAAATATATACTTATGGTATAACATGATTCTTCTTCTCTCACTGAATATACCAATCATGCAATACTAAATCATCCCCCCACAATGGTGGGGGTTCTCACTCCACACCCACTGGTGTTTCCCTGAATGAGTGGGATCTGACCTGCCTGAAGAACAGGAGATTTCTGACACTGCCTTGCAGTGCTAAAAGAGGCTTTTCGCCCTAAGGAAATACAAGGTTCTCTAAACATATACTTGGGATCTCATCAGTTTTTATGGATGTCAGTAGTGACCAAGTAACACTGAACTGTCAATGAAAAAGTCTATAAAAATTAAGAAAAATTATAATAAAACCTACCTTCCCAAATAATGAAATGTTCAATTAATCACCACTGAAATATCCAAGTAATAAAGGACAACATGCAACTGTTTATTTTTCAGAGCTCACCTCCCCCCAGAAGGGTCACCTCCCCTCCCCTGATCGCTCTTAAGCCCCACCTATCAGAGTTTGGACACAGTGCACATCATGTAAGTTGCAGATGCAGAATATTACTTTATAACAAATTGCTTATTACATTTCTAAGTGTGTGTTTATAAATAACTATACAGTACTTTATTTTCTCCAGTAATTGTAAATACCTAGATGGTAGAAACTATATGTTACATATTTTCTTTCAGTTCTCCCAGAAATGTCTCCCGTCATCCCCAATCAGATTTTTGTCAGTGCCTTGTAGCAGGCCTCCCTACTTTCTCTTCCCATCCTAATCCGTCCTCATCAAGGTTTCCAAATTAATTTTTCTAAAGCATGGCTCAAAAACTTTGAGAGATCTCCCTCTGGACAAAATTAAAATCATGCTCTTCTGCTTGACCCTGAAAATCACCTACAATTCTGCCTCCACCATATTTATTCTACCTTACCCCAACATAAATCGTAAATGAACATCAGGCTAACTCTACTACTCTGCCACATCCTCATTTTTATGCCATTACCTGTCTGGCCCAACTAAAAGATCCTCATCACTCACTGCTCCCAGCTCAGGCCCAGGTCCCTCACAGCTTTCCCAATTTCCCATACTCAGTTCTTCCTCCATTGAACTTAACCAAATACACACAACACACAATAGATATTTAACCAAGTTCTCCTCCAAACTGCCATTTAACTATTTTGTGATTATACATTTTCCTCCCATGGGCTATTTAAAGTCATATGTCATTTGCATGCCCCAGAGCACTTGGGCACGATCTGATACATAAGCTCTTAACCAGCAATGGTTCATTCCACGTACACATCCCTATCATTCTTGGGATAGTTCTGGACATGCAGGACGCCTTCAAGCACTTCTTTTGTCAAATCGTTCCTTCTTTACCTGTAATTTTTCTAGGAGGTCCATGTTTTGTCTTTTCAGTTGGCTATTGGCCCTCTCCAGCTTCTCCACAGGTTCACTATCCTCACAGGCATATGAAGATTCCTGAAGCTCATCCTGCAGCACGTGATATTCTACCTCATAGGCATGTAACTGTTTAGAAATATCCATCTCAAAAACCTGCCATGAAAACACCATGGGTTACTCTGGCCTTTGTTAGTATGTATAGCAAGATACAGTCTATGTATCTTGGTGTACTTCTTGTATATTTCTGAATATTTATTAATGAAGAACATTTAAGCATACAAAAAGAAAAAAAAAGGTATGACTGTCAACAAGAACAAATTAGATATATATTAGACTGTCAATATGAGAACAGATAGATTATTTCTATACAATTGAAACATTCTCATAACAAGGCCAATTCACTAGAATAAATTAATGTCCAAAGGTATTCTGCAATCAAGATATTCCACTCTAGTAACTATCTTCCAAAATTTAGTATACCAGATAAACAACACTAGTTATTGAGTAATTATTGTCTATATTAGAGATAATCTTTGAGGATTAGTAAGCAAAATTGCATAGGATATTTCCATAATAAAGAGACCAAAAGCATTTCTCATTTGTATGTCAATTTGGCAGAAAGATTTTAATAAATCTGTTCATCCATTTGCAGCTGCATGTGAGCCTCTTAGGACTCATTTATATATTCTACCACAAAGAGAATCCTCAAAATTCATACATTGAGCTCTGTCCAGAGCTGTAAGACTTTATTAGGGCTGCCGCTGGTCTCTCACATTACCATCAAATAGGAAGGTGGTTTGCTAAGAAGTTAGAGGACTGGTAACCCTTACTTCTGGGCAATTCCCTCATTAATTTAGAAGAGAGGTGATACCTGATGTCAGATCTCTAAAAGCACAATCTCTGACTGGCTGTTGGTCAAAAAAGGTATTTCTGCAGAATTAATAAATAAATGAGTAAATATGTAAATAAAAGCTAAACTTTTCAGCTTACAGAGCATTTTAACAAATGAAAACTATTCATAGATATTTACAGAATAATCTGCTTGTGATTTAGATTCCATGTAATGGAAAGAAAATTTTATATGTGATAATATGAGAGTTCACATTATAGTGTGAATTTTAGTGTACAAAATACTTTAACTTATTGGTTATATTTGCTCCTAAAATAATACAAAAACAATAAGATCGATTATTATTATTCCCATTTTGTAGGGGAGGAAGTGGAGACTCAGAGAGGTTGTAACTTACCCAGAGTCACACAGCTAGTAGGTGGCTGGACACCAGAACAAGATTGCAAACTCCCTTACTCTTATTATACTCTACTCTGTCTTCTTGCTGCTGTCCCAAATGCATCCAGGAAAGTGGTAAAACTAATCAATGCTCCTAAAGCATGACTGTTGTATCTACAAATCTGGTCCTAAGTTGTTCATTTGATCTGAACAGCATCAATATGTAACTACCACTGAGCTGGCTCCTATGAAGAGGCCAGGACATTCTCTGACCTCATCCATTCTACTGTATCCTGGGAGGCAGATCCCAGTGAACTGCAATCTGCACACTTCCTTTCTTGCTGGCTTCCGGATTAATTTTGGTCAATGGGAGGTGCCAGCAGGCGATCAGAAAGAGCAGGAGAAAGAAGTCGGGGTATTTCTTCCCTGCTGCTTCCCTTCTAAGTTCCCCAAGAGCACAACAACTGCAGAGACCCCTCCTCCATAGTCCAACTCTCCGTGGGCCAGTAACACTATTATATCCTCTATTTGCCCCCTCAGCACCAGGGGTAGGAACAGCTTCTCTCTGTTACTAGTTCCTGGGCACCTGGACATCTGTGTTGGGTTTCCCTAACCCTGCCCACACCTTTGTAAATGGTTCCTTCATTTGAATCATCATAGGGAGACTCTGTTTCCCATTGGGATGCTGATTAACAGATCTCGTCCCCTCATTTAAGCTTCATGAAATTTCTCGAATCAGTATTGTCCCATCTTAGAATTCAGTATGAGGGTTCCAAAGATTAGGGTGATATGTGCAAACTAAACAGCTAATAAAAGAGTTAGAGGAAGATGCACACCCAATATTTTCTAAGCCCAAAGCCTTCTTGCCACATGACCTTCCTGCATATTCCACAACAGAATTAACAATATTACAAAGGTAAGTGGATCTCATTTTATTCTCAGGTCTTCCTGACTCTGTCAGTTCTATCTTTGGTCTCAGCATTGGTTTAAATTGAAAGGATTCCTGAAAAACTCCGTATGTAGCACTAAAACTACCTTTCATGTACATAGCCAGATAGACAATGTCACAAAGTAGAAATTTCACAATAGTCTCATTTCTAAATAAAATGTATCTGATCAAAGTTATAAAAAACAGTAAAAAGTCATATCTGTCAATCAAAACTACATCTTTACGCTAAAACATTTAATATGTAATCGGTAGAGAAAATGCTATATAACCTTATATCTTACTATTATCATTTAAATCATACCTGGGTAATAATTTTTTCCATTTCAGAGGTATTCATATCAGGTAGCGTGCTTTTAAGAAATTCAACAATATTTTCAAAGCTCTCACATTCCATTATAAGTGTTTCTTGGCTGCTCAGTAGGCTAAGTGCAACCTTAAATATAACTTCAGTACCCTGAAGAAAAATAATATCTAAAAAAAGATATAATTTTCATGATCAAAATTATGAATCCACTATTGTAAATAGCAAGTTTTATTATTATTGTTATTATTATTATTATTATTATTATTATTATTATTATTATTATTATTATTATTATTATTATTATTATTATTATTATTATTATTATTATTATTATTATTATTATTATTATTATTATTATTATTATTATTATTATTATTATTATTATTATTATTATTATTATTATTATTATTATTATTATTATTATTATTATTATTATTATTATTATTATTATTATTATTATTATTATTATTATTATTATTATTATTATTATTATTATTATTATTATTATTATTATTATTATTATTATTATTATTATTATTATTATTATTATTATTATTATTATTATTATTATTATTATTATTATTATTATTATTATTATTATTATTATTATTATTATTATTATTATTATTATTATTATTATTATTATTATTATTATTATTATTATTATTATTATTATTACTGCAGCAAGGCTAGAGAATAATTTTCAGAAGAAAACTGGTCAAAACCACCTACATTTTTGAACAAAATTTCATATGACTGAAAAAAATAAACAGATGTTTGAATAGCCCCCTAGTTATTAAGAATCTCACATAAGGCCAGGGCCAAAAAGGACAAATAATATGTTTGTCCATGTATTATTTATAATTTTTACTGGAAAACTTAATTGAGACTAGGTAAACCTCAAAGACAATTATACAACTGATATTTAAATTTTTCTTCTCAATAGGAACACAACAAATCAACTTAACCAATTAATATTATTCACTCTCATTACCATAATATAAAGTAAATGAACCAGTTAATCCATAATTAAATCTATACTAGACCAGAAAATTTTTAAAAAAAGAAAGAAAAGAGGGGCCGGCCCGGTGGCGCACTGGATAGTGCGCCGCTTGGGAAGCGCGGCGGCGCTCCTGTCCGAGGGTTCGGATCCCATGTACAGACCGGTTCCCGCTCACTGGCTGAGCGAGGCGCGGGAGCAGCGCCGAGGCTTGCGATCCCGTTGCCGGTCCCCGGTCCGGTACGGGGGCAACACTGAGGATTGCGATCCGTTGCCGGACACGGAAAAAAGATAAAAGACCAAAAAAAAAAAAAAAAAAAAAAAGAAAGAAAAGAAAAATCAAAACAAATAACAAAAATATAACAAATCAGAAGAGGAAAAGAAAAGCTATCCTAACTCTGAACTCTGCTTCCTTATAAATACAAACAGGCTAGTTTTGAAAAGTACCAGATACTTTTGCATAAAAGTTTCCCTTAATCTATGCCATTTTTTAATTAATAATACATAACACGAGGGAGTCTTTAACAAAAGAGGGAACTGTGAAAGAATTATTTCGAACATGGTAATTCTTCTTGCTCATGCATCTTTCTCTTTCCTAACAGTCTCTATTCTTTACTAAATCCCAAGGAAAGGACTGGGCCGCTCTTGTACAGCTGACAGCAGCATTCATATTCTCATAACCAGAAACAGCCTACTGGGGACACTTACTTCTTGAACTCTGATATCAACCTTCCAATGGTAAGTCAAGGAGAGATGCCCTGAAACATCATTTTGATTTGATAGACTGTTCTCCGAGAAGAGAAAGATACATGTTTCTAAATAAAAGGATTAATAGAAGACCCATTAATAGAAACCCAAACTCCAGGAAATCTTCACTGGAGAAAAGCAATCGTGTATATTTGATCAACAAGACAAATCTGGTGAATGTTTGCTTTAGTGCATCTTGATTTTGCTCTTCTGCTGCACTGTGTCTATAGATTGTATTGCCGCTAATGCAGGGTTGAACTTTTAAACCACAGTCCCCAATAAGAAAGACACCAAACATGGTAATCTGGTATATGTATACATATTACACATACATCCTCCAAACTGAAGTTACTCCAAATAGCGTTTTTTCCTTACTATTTATAATATTCTCTGATATTCTCACTGTAGTCTATTCCATTTCATTTTCTAAAATACAGGTCACAACCTAGAATTGGGACAATACTCACAATTTGACAGAAAGCTCCCATTGAGCACAAGTGCAGTTGTGAATGAATGCTGACTACTCTGACCACGGCTACCAGATAGATGAGCAGACCATGTGGAAGCCCTTTCTGAGACTACTGAGATCCTCAACATCATTAGAACAACCTCTAGTGAATAGCTGGCTGTTTGTTTTTATGCTTTTTCACTAAGACTTAGACAAACCTAACTAAAGGCTTGTAAATAGATTTAAGGGCCCCCAAAGGGAACATAAACCATGTCACACTCTCTTTTTATTCCCAGTGCCAACACTGTGATGGGACCAAGACGGGTACTCAATGACTTGCCCTAGGCCCTGCTGCCTGTGCTTAGTGGATTGCCCTGAGCTACCCAATCTTACAGATTAAGAAATGCTATTAGAAGTAATATTGATATAGGTACTTCTATTGACCCAATCGCAGAACATGTTTCTCTGTGTTTTGAATCCAAGTTGAAGAGAACAACGGGAATGAAGTAAAGAACAAACAAAAAAAAGTAGGAAAGATCTGAAAAATAAAAATCTGGAAATTATACAGAGCATGTCCCTAGTCCAGAGTTTTAGGCATAAATGAAAATAAAAGCTCCATTACAATTTACTCAAATACAGGAGCCCAACTCCTCTTTCCCTTTTAATTTCAATTTTATTTAAGACCAATATGGTTTCAAATTACTATCAGAATAGAGCCAGGCACATTTATTAAATTCCACTAGCAATGTGCTGTTCTATGTAACACATGATAAAACAATCGCGGCACCACATGGCTAGAAGATTTATCCCTGGAATATATAACACTGTTCCATTTGATCATAGGCATCTCTTACCAAAAACTCTGGCTACAAATCCTAATGGAAACTGAGAGGCAAACAGTGTGAGAAACCAGGGGGCAGCATAAAGACTGGGGCTGATTTCATTTTCTTCAAGATGATTGTAGAGATCTCTGTGATAGTCATGAAGGAGCCTGGACAGCTGGTACATTTGAATCTAAAGTTAATTTTGGAGAAGAAAAATAAAATATTAAGCAATTGTCTGAGTATGCATAAAATATACTAACTTTAATTTTACCACCTTAATATTTAATAACAATTCACATATATTCAATAATAAAAGTAGCATTACTTTATTTTTATTATTATTATTTTATGTCTTTTGTCTTTTTCCGTGTCCGGCAACGGATCGCAACCCTCAGTGTTGCCCCCGTACCGGACCGGGGACCGGCAACGGGATTGCAACCCTCGGTGCTGCTCCCGCGCCTCGCTCAGCCAGTGAGCGGGAACCGGTCTGTATGTGGGATCCGAACCCTCGGGCGGGAGCGCCGCCACGCTTCCCAAGCGGCGCACCTATCCAGTGTGCCACCGGGCCGGCCCATATTTTTATTATTATTTTAAAGTTGATATTAAAGTCCAAGTTCACTTAACTGAGGTCATAAAGCAAGTCACTGAAAATCCATCTAAGACTATTGAGCAAGTTTCTCTATCATGTGTGATTGGGTATCACCTATGTACACAGAAATGGTATTTTTTTCTCTTGTAGCAAGAGATTGCTTTTGGAATTTAATCAGACCTGTCCTGGCTCAGGACTCTCATAGAAGGTCCCTTCTAATTTCAAACCAATTCCAGAAAAGCTTCCATTGTGAAGAATCTACCATGTTCAGAAGCAAAGCTTATGTCTATTTGCTGGGCCCAGGATCTCATCTATAATGGAGTTCTCCTTACACAATCTACACTGCTCAGATACAACAGAGACTTAGAATGTTATGAACCAGAAGCTTGGGATGTTACTTCTAACATCCAAGTTATTCCAGCAGCATATTTTTCATAACAAAGGGGATTATGGCAAAAAGCACAGCCATTTCTAAATGTTTCTAGAATTAAAAGAAGAAATTACTTCATCTGGCTACTGAGTTGCTTACTGGTATTTCAAAAAACATTACAAAGAAAGCACATAAAAATTTTTAAACTCTTATGTCTATAACACAAAAGATAAAATAGTAGTGAATAATAAACAAACTTGCGAATTGTGCTTTAACTTAAATCTTTATCTGCACAGTTAACAGAACCACCTTTATCTGGTGGTTCCTTGACCAGTTATATTGGCTTGACATTTTGGCATAAAATATATTTAGTACTTTATCAAATCTAGCAGAACATTTTCACTCAATGAAATCAACAAAACATCACCCTTAAACAGTTAGCTCTACATAAAAATAAACAATTATATTGCGAATTCAACAATTGTTGTACAAATTGTTGTCCAGGGTACAAAACTAAAAACCAAGGGACTTCTTTGGAAAAAAGTCATAACATACTATACATAAACAGAGCAAATTATTTATTTGACCTTTATCTACACATAATTTTGGAAACTAAGTTTCCATGAAAACTATAAAGGGAAGAAATTAAAGAGCCACAGAAAGTCATAGCTATAAAAGAAGGTAATCTGGAGTCAAACACAAAGGTTTTTAAAAAATTAGATTATTATCTCAATAAGTTATGGTGAAAAAAAATTATATTTCACCTGTTAAACAGACCTATGAATAGTCATCAACTAGAAATTAAGTCTATAATTACGTATCCTGGTAAACACTCTCCATAAGAACTCACATCAGAAAACTCAATGTTGAGTGCAAGGCCTTATCTCCCCCTAGTTCTCTAATTTAATGTCGAGGAAGTAAAGAAAAAGGGAACACTTCTCCACTCATGCTCAAGAAAACCCATTTACTATAATACTCATGCAGGTGAAAACAGTCCTTTTTACCTGATAGATTGGCAACTGAAGGAATAAATACAAAAACTGATCATAAGGAACCAGGAGAAAGAGTATATTTTAAAAAGTATTTTTAAAGTACTTTACTCCTTATCTAAAGCATAATATTATGACTAATGAGGACTCATGTGTATCTCATTTCAAAGGAGGAGAACCCTGACGGTCTTCTCTTTTTAAAGACTTTAGTCTTCCTCTACATTTTTATTACTGAAAGCTTTAAATTGCAAAGTAGTGGTTGTTGTGTCATATCTACAGACAAAATTTAAACTGCTTTTTAGAAACCAACACACTGAGGAAAGTGATATTTAAACCAGAGGGGAGAAATGTGTAAGCAGGAAGTTTGAAATACATTAAAGACAGCAGTGGCCGTGAATACCCCACTTAACATAACTAAAGGTCTTAAAGGTGCTTCCGCAGATCCTGCTGAGAAAAGCAGACTGAAAAAGCACCACTGACCGTCCCACGTTTTCTTCAGCAAGGGCCTGTCTTACATTAAGATAAAGGAGGAGAGACAGGGTAAGTTCAAGGAAAATCATGACACAGATACCTGCTATTTATGCTCTCAGAGTAAAAGGAGAAAGACATATTTACAGATTTTAAACAAACGATCTATGAGCCTTTTAACTGACAAGTCGAGGAAAATGAATAAAGATGACTTGATACCTTCCCCATGTAACCCATAGACTTAGAGGACAGAGACGGGTACCCACCACCTACTTTTCTTAAGCTGCTTATTTATTCATTTTAAGAACTTTGTGGAAAAGTTATTCTGCCTATGGGTCTCATACACTTGGAAGTTTAGCAAAATCCCAAATCTACACTAAAACATGCCCCCCTATTCACCCAAGTTCTAGGACAATGGGTCCAAGTTTCTTTACATCTGAACTGTAATGTAGTAGACAGCCAACATTTCTGGTATCAGTCTTACATGTTGCTTGTGAAGAACTACCGCCTCACCTGTAGTGACATCATGTCAGGTCTGTACTGCTTGCGGAAGCCTAGGTCATACATGAGAAATTTCAGCATTTCAAAGGCTTGCTCTTCACTCATGTGCAGAAGCAGAACTCCAGCCACAAAGCTGATCCCTTGACAGTAACCCACTTCTTTGTCCAGCAAAGAATAGGCTTTCAGGAGGTTAAATAGTGACAGCTGCCCTGCTCCAAGCTGTACTGAAAAGTAAGGGTGAGTAGGAAATGTCCTTCCTGCAGAGGAAAAGCAAGGAAATATTTTTGAGATGATCTGATGCACTGGAAGCCAAAGTGAAATTGCAACTCAGTGACCTCCAAGAACAAACGAACACTCTTCCAAACCAGTAAGAGTTGCTTAGAGTACCCATCTTAACAGAGTCTCTCTCTCTTTCTCTCTGTCTTCCAAACCCCAAGTCCTACCTGCCGGACCACCATCCTATCTCCACATATATGACATGTTAAGAAAAACTTTCTGCTAACCAGCACTTCTTTCTAGGAAATTTTAAAATAAAATAAAACCCACAAACTAATGACTTATCCAGGAGAGATACCAAGAGGATGCATTATAAAATGTATTCTGACCATAAATCAAGGCAAATTCTAAATTCATACAAAGACCACCTTCTAAATGAAGCCAGAATTCTGTAAGAGATATCAATTGTTTAAAAGGAAGTCTTAGTAGTCTATAAACAGATTTATTCCTGCTTATCTTGTAATATGACACTGGAGGGACTTTTTGGTTTATTTTGCTTTATATTCAGTCTACCATTCAGGAAATACTTTTTTTTTTTCAAATATCTTTTGCTCCCTGTTTCTTAAAATATCTCCATGAGCCATGCAGACACCTTTTCTTTTTCCAAAATATCCAAAAAGGACCAGGAGAATAAAGGGTCAAGCCAGTTTCAAATAGATCCCCCTGTAAAATTCATCTCTGAGTATAAAATTATCACAGAGATACTTCAGCTTGCAAACAAGGTCAGTCCTATCACTAAAAGGCTGGTACTAAAAACTGAAACAAACCCATCCTCACCACCAATGCTGCATATACTGGTACGTCCCTGGTGCCACAAGAATGAAGGGGGATGTTAACTTCCTTTTGAAATGATTACTCATGTCAGATAGAACTTGCAAGAATGGCAGATTTCAAAATATTCTCTACCACATATGCTTAAAAAGTGATTTTTTTTTCCAGGAACTGATAAGATTAATTCCGCAGAACAAGTAAAGGGAAGATACAAGAAAATAACACCACACTGAAAAAAACACAGATGGCTACAAATATGGTCAAATAAGCAATTTCTTAAATTATCATTCTACTTTCTCAGTTAAATATTTTGTAAAAGAAAATTATAAATACACTCTCTGTCCAAAAACTTGATTCTAGCTCCATTTTTGTCTGACTAGCCTTTCCTGTCATCTGATCTCATCATCTCCCTGTCTTTATTAGGACATCTAGACTAACCCTGACTGCATCACCAATTTGTGGTCACAGAACCACAGATCTGCAAGGGGTCAAAAGGGTTGCCTCGTTCAATGTCCCCAATTAATAAAATTGAGACTCAGAAGGAGAGTAATTTGTCAAAGACCATAGTTAGTGATAGGATCAGGACAAGAACTCAAGTTTTCAGTTTCTTTGTAAAATTCCGTTTTTAATTCTACTGGGCTCAAAAAATACTTAACTGAGCTGGGCCTTTTCCCAATGAAATCTATCATCTACAAGGAACAGAGGTAAAAACTAGGTTTTGGCCACTGATTTTTTTATACGCCCTAATATAAGAAGACCCCAGATATACAGCAATCCCCTGTTTTCCCAAATGGGCTCAAATAATATATCAGGCCACCTGAAATATATCAACTTTTTCTATAGGAGTGCAGATGAAATAATCAAATGTTAATGTATAATATTTAATCTAATCATTTAGATATTTTTAAATAATAAAATATATTATTTGTATGCTAATTTAGAGAAAATTAGAGACAATATAATTTTTAAAATCACACCATTTTTACTTTCCACAAGTTATTTGAAATTCAGTATTTAAAAAGATCGCTTTATGATGCTGTCACTGGAAATTCTCCACCAGGTCATAAATACCTATTTCTATAACATTAGGACAGCTAATTTTTCATTCACCCTGTAAGTATGTATTCATGATTTCCACAATATAACCACTTTTTAAAGAGATATTTAAAGGTTTGTTTTCAGCCATATGTCCAGGAATACTTAATAGACCTTTGTTAAATTTTTTGGTCCTCCTAACCAATTTCGAACCAGCATCTATTAAGATATAATTGTCGATCCCAAACAAAAGTCAGTTGTTCAAAAGATAGTAATGGAGAGTACCCCATACTATGATCTTCATAATAACTCATGTATGACTCTCTTTTCAGAGGGAAAGTTTTGGGGTGAAAACTCCATTTTATGCTCAGGTATTTATGGTATCTTCAATTTTATATAAAGCCAACTTGCCCGCAAAATCAACAAAGTCAGCAGCTCTGCATATGCCAACAGATCCTCCTTCTCAACACTAAGAAAACAAACAAAACCCCAAACAACAAGAGGACCTACTGTTTCCTTTTGTAAATCATAATCCATATGACAACCATACCTAAATCGACGAGAATAGCATGCTGCTGAGCGGTGAGCTGCTTTAAAAGTTCTTTATAGGATGTGTCAGGAGGTTGTTGTTTATTAGGCAATCTGTGTCTTAGACGATATTGTAAAGCTAGGAACTGCCAAATTTCTCCTCGCCGACTTTTGGGAACTCCTACAATCAGAGATAAATATGTAAGGCCTTGACCTCTGGAATGAAGTTGCTAAATCACTGTTGATTAACTATGTAACACTTAAAAATATGCTGCTGTATTGTAATGCATGCCACCCTAAGATCACAGAGTACAATGTATTGACAGAAGCATATTCTAATAAGTATAAAGAAAACCCTCAAATAGTGACAGTAATGGCAATATTAACACCATCAGCCAACACTGAGTGAGCCCCTAATACAACATTTATTGAGAAGGCCTAGTTACTGAGCATTGTACATGCACTCAGAAGACAACCCTACGAGGCAGGTAATTACTATTATCCCCACTTCACAGATAGTAAAGCTGAGGCAGAAAGAGATTAAGTAATTTGCCCAAATTCACAAAGCTAATAAGTGGCCATTTAGAATTAGAACTCCAAAAGACTGGTTTAAGAAGCCAAATCCTAAAATCCCAAAATGTATTACTGCTTATTTCCACTTTTTATCTGGTGCGACAATAGCATTGTCAACAAATGCTAATCCTCATTTACAATTGACAAAAAATGCTAATCCTCATTTACAATTCCTAAATATTTGTCATCAGCAAATATTTGTATTTCTTTTGTAAAAGAGAAGTAAATAGCATTCTCACATGGTCATGAAAGAATGAGATGATAAAAAGGGTAAATACAATATGAAGGTATAACTGGCGTGCTCCATATCATTCAGCCTTTGAGAAGAAAATACTTAGCATACATATAATGAAAACTTAACTCTATTATGCTTGCAACCAAAAGGTGTCACAAGCAGTTCAAAGAATGCTATAGCTATGTTTTTATAATGCCAAGGAACATGAAGTAAGCACTGGGAGGGACAGAATTCAATTAAATACAGTGCAGGCAACTTTATTTCAACACTAAGACTTTTCAGTTCTGATAGACTGGATCTGGAGTAGGTTCCTGAGCTCCACCTGGTTAAGGGAAGCTTTAATGGCAGTAATCTCTTAGGACCGCAATGCCAGAGCTTGCAAAAACTGAAAGTATTATTGTCCAAACTCAGGCTCACTGACATGATTTATAAGGCCTTCTACAAAACAACTCCCAACTACATTTTTTAGCCCCATTACCTCCCATTCCCTGCCATACACTAGAAATTTGTGGCTGTTTTCACTCTTCCAGTTTCTTGCTCCTACTGTTCCCTTTTGGAATTCCAAGCTGCACACTTGATTTCCTAGTGTATTTCTATTCATCTTTTTTGAATGAGCTTGAATGTCACCTTTTCTTCTGAAGCTCTCCCTAACATCTGCAGAAGTCACTCCCTTTTCACGCACTATTTGACTCATTCTGTAATATTACCATCTTGGATTACAGTTAGTCTATACTGTATGTTTGTCCATTTCCCCAACTTAGGTATTGAGCTCCTTGAAAACAGTAAGCATACTTTCATCTCTGTATGATGAAATCCAAGAACATACCTTGCTACTTGAATGAATGAATGACAGCACATAATATGTCATTTGTAGAGGGTAACTTTCATTGGCCCATCAAATGAATCACTGATAACAAGAGTGGGCGGTTTTATTATCCATCCAATAACCAATTTACAGAAAAAACAAACACTTATTGAGCATCCAGTATATAGTAAGGTAGAGAGCATGGCACTGAGGATACCTCATCACTGAGAGATGAATAAATCCATTCTCAGGAAAATTCATCTAATGCATCCACCCATCCATCCATCCATTCATTCATTCAGTATGTAACTTGCATAAGATGCTGTCTTAGGTGCTAACTGTGCCATAATGGGGCAAGAAAAACATTAAACAAACATACACATAAATATAAAGTTAACAAATTATGATAAATAGGATTCATCATGAGAAAAAATAATAAAACTAAACTAATTTATGTGATTGGGGGCAAAGGTGATGCTCTGAGGAAATGGCATTTGAGATGAGATCTGAGGGAGCACAGGACTCCCCAGACTAGAAATGTGGGCAGCGACCACTTCAGGTGGAGGAATGTGTGAAGCCCTGAGAGGAGCAGAGGAAAGGGAAGAGAAAAGAATGAGGATGGGACGGAAAGAAGGGGAGATAGGAAATGAGAAGATGGTGGAGAGGGAAGGAAAAAGTGGATGGAGAGCTGGAACATTCCATGCAAAAAATAGCCTGAGACATATTGGCATCCAGAGTAGCTAGAGCATCTCTGGAGCACACATACATGGTAGGGAAAGGCAGAAAATGAGACAGAGAGATGGAAAGAAAGATTATGGAGGGCCATGGACACAGTGCTAAGAAGTTTAAACTGCATTCTATAAGAAATGGGAAGATGAGCACCTCTCAAACATCTTTAAATGTCATATCAAAGAATAGAGTGATCTACATCCACACACATTCTATTAACCACTATTTTGCCTCCCAAATAATGTATTCAATGAAAATCTTTAGGATTTACAAATCTTCAAGGAAAAAGAATAAAACATTATTAGGCTTATAAATGTGGCATCTTACAAAATAAGTCTTAGCTTCATCAAAATCTCACTGTGCGGGCCGGCCCAGTGGCGCACTGGATAGTGCGCCGCTTGGGAAGCGCGGAGGCGCTCCCGTCCG